CTGGCAGTAGCACAACCACCACACAGGGTCACCCCCTCCTTGCAGTTCTAGCTTTTAAGGGACTTTGGTAACAACATTCCCCTCCCTTTCTCAGTCTCTGAAAGGTCACAGATTGTGTAAAGGGGGCACCTCTGTTGGAGAGAAAAGACAGTGAACTTGAGAATCAGGAGACATAGTTCCCAGCTTTGGCACTCTTGCCAGTTCTGTGACCTTGAGCAACATATTTGCCTCAGTTTCCTCCTCTGCTAAATGGACATAGGCGACCATGCCTTTCATGTTCAAAAGTCTTGCACAGAATCACCTCAGGACTTGTGCAGATGTTAGTTGCTGTTATAATCACATCCAACCCTGTCCCCAGGGCAGGACGCCCCCCTCACACAGGACATTTTCTTCTTGCTTCCTCAGAAACGCAGGCACAGCCAGGAGTGATGAAAATGTTGCACTCTGGTTGGATGCCACACACAACTGACTCTTTACATAAAAAAGGAGGAAAAAAATCATGAAAATTACACCACCTCCCCTCCCCCAGATTTTTTTTCCATTTTTATTCTTTTTCCTCCACCCCCCCCCCCCCCCGCCCCAGGATTGTTGAATAAGCAAAAATCTTCAAATTTTAAAAGACCATGTGGAAAAAAAGAGAAGGATGGGGTCTGGGAAGTGCTGACAAAGCCTTGATAAGGCCTCTGATTCACCTTCACTCTCTGAGGTGGAGTCGGGGAGGGGGGCAGGGAAGGCTGGAGCCTGGAGGGCTGGGGGCTCGGTACAGACCCTTACAGACAGCTGGATGCTGTTCTGGGAGGTGCTTCTCCATTTCCCGTGAAGCCTGGAGGGACTGGCACCAACCATGCAGAGTCATCTGGGTTTTTTAAAAGGGGGAGCTTCATGATGAGCTGAAACTGAGAGGAGGATGCTGGTCCTGGGAGTGTGTGCAAAGAGGAGGCGATCTGAGCCCGGTGGGCGTCCATTGAGCACACGGTATGTGTGAGTCCCTGTGTCAGACTCTGAAGAAATAGAGGTGAAGTAAGCATGGTTCGTGCCCCGAGGAGCTTTCCATCCGGCGAAAGTATCTAGGTATAACAGGGTGGGATGTGGATTATAAACCATGGAAACACATCAGTCTTGGCCCAGGAGTCTGTCCTGGAGGAGAGAGGGTCTTGCTGGGGTCAGGCCTCAGCTCTGGGGAGAGTGAACGTCCTACAGTTGCAGTCCTCTGTTGGGGAACGAGGAACGGGGAATGGGCCCATTCTGGAGACTGGTCAGAGGGGACTGAGGTCCTATGCTCCAGGGACTTGGACGCCCCGCTGACCTGGGACCAAGAGCAGTGCTCCGTGTGACCACTAGGAGGCGCCAGTGTCCTCGAGTGGACTGCAGGGTGGCGCGCTCTAGGGAGGGGGAGCATTCAGCAGGAGGGACGGGAGAGCCCCAGAGGCCTGACAGAAACACCTCCCCTTTGACCTGGGCTCTGGCTGCCTCCTCTGTCACACTCAGGGTGGTGGTGGGGGGGGGGGGAGTGGGGTACCAGGTTCTGTGGAAATGGGCAGCTTGAGCGTAAATCAAAAGCAAATCTAATCATCCCCCCAACCCAGAGGAGGAGCAACTTGGGGGGCAGTTTTAGCCAGGCCATTCTACTCACCTGAGCCTGAGTTTCTCCATCTGTAAGATGTGAGGATTCGATCAGCTGGATGATTTTTGAGGCCCTCTGCTACGGTTGAAGAAAGGATTCCATAACCACGGGGTCCTACCATCCGTGGTTCCCAGCACCGCCCCTTCCCCTGGACCCCTGGGCTTCCCTAATCTCTACAGGTGCACAATGCAGAGCGTGCTGCCCCTACATCCCCCTCCGCAGCCCCAGTTCAGGGGCAGTTCTCTGCGGAGGGGACTGTTGTGACAGGCAGTGTCCCTGGGAGACTGGGGAACCTACGCTGAGATCCTCCCTACTCTCTCAGTATCTCATTTGCAAGCACAGCCTGCTTCCCAGCTGACAGCCAGACCCCCCTGCCTGCATCTGAACGCACCCAGGCTGAACCCTCCACACCGATTCTAAGTTGTTCTTATTCCCTGCTGTTCCTCCCAGGGGCGGCCCTGCCATCCTGCCAATCACCCTGATCTGAGGTGTGGGTATCAGCATCAACCTGTCTCTTCTCACGCTTCACTTTCTCATATTCACCAAAAGTCCAGACAGTCTTACCTGGAATGTGCCCTTCTCTCACTCCCTTGCCACCCCTGCCCTGGTTCAGCCTATGTTATTTCTTTCCGGAACTGGTCTGTCTCTCTGACTCCAGTCTGTCCTCTCTCTAATCTATCATCCATCTGTGTTGCTGCCAGAGAGCTCTTTCTAAAACACAAATCTGATTATGCGCATCTCTGCTTTAAAATCTTGGCTGTAGCCTTGTGGCCTAAAGATAAATCCAAAGTCCTAACGAGCTTCCAAGTCCATTCATGGTCTGACCCTTGCTTCTGCAGCCAAGTGCATTTCCCAGCATGCTCCTCGATCCATCCACACCACACTTTGCCCCACCAAACAGCCCATGTTCTTTCAGGGTTATTGCCTTGGCAGACATCACCCCCTCAACCAAAAATTCTGACCCTGATTTCTGCTTGGTGAACTTGGGCTCCTCCTTGAAGTCTGATCTTAAAGCTGTGAAGCCTTTCCCAGTTTCCCAGGCATATCTTTACTATCTGTCTGCCTCCCCCACTAGACTGTAAGCCCCTGTTTAGCTCTGTATCTCCATATCTAATCAATGCTTGATGTGTGGCAGCGATTCAATACCAGAGTCTGAATGAATGAATAAATATATGAATGGCCTGGGAAATTGCACGCTGGGTTGAAATCTTCTTTTTTCTTTGCTAGAGCCCATTGAGAAAAGGAAAGGCAAGAGTGCTAGGAAACGAGGTGGGGAAAGTTGGGGAAGCCCTTCCAGCTGGGTCCTGTGGATCAAAAGAAGAGTTTGGATTTCCTTTTTCCTTACTGGATCTCAGGTCCACAAATTTAATCATTCAGCTCACATTCTTAGAGTGATGTAGTAGCATCATCCTCAGCCTTCTAATTTGACTATTTTCTTGATGTCTTCCCTCACACTCAGTGAGAACCCACCATCATTTATCTCATATGAATCTTCTATTCTCCTTGCTCCTATTGGATTGACAAAAAAGCTCATTTGGGTTTTTCCGTAACAGCTTATGGAAAAATCCCAAAGAACTTTGTGGCCAACCCAATAAAGAAGAATTTGAGTTTCATTCTCAAAGCAGTAAGTCTTCAGAGATTTTTAAGCAAGGGTGTGACATGATCTAATTTTCACCTCATAAAGATTGCTCTGTCTCCTCTGTGGAAAACGCATCACAGGGGACAGCGTGGAGATGAAACACCAGACAGAGGCCACCGAAGTGGCCCAGATGCCCAATGGTGTTAGCTGGAGAGTAACAGTGAAGGCAGAGGAAGTGGGCAGGTCAGCGTAGGTTTGGGAGGGAGAGCAGATCAGATGGGTGGGTTGGTGCATGAGTTGTGAGGATTAAGAAATAAAAAGAGGAGGGGGAGCATAAATTAGGAGTTTTGAATTAACATATACACACTACTATATGTAAAAAAGATAATCAACAAGGACCTACTGTATAGTACTGGGAACTCTATAGTCAATATTCCATAATAACCTATATGGGAAACGAATCTGAGAAAATGATGTATTATAACTGAATCATTTTGCTGTACACCGGAAACTAACACAACATTGCAAATCATCTATATTCCAATAAACAAAAAGACCTCAGTAGTGAAGGTTCCAGAATTTCAATATAGAAGGGTTTTGGGAGCAGCCGTGTTTTTGGAAGGGGAGCCAAGGACCATCTAGCAACTGTATGCATAGCCAGCACTGTTCTTATTTATACTGTGTTTATTTGGGGCAGGTGAAGAAGGATGCTTAGGGGTATAATGGAGGGGGCAGTTCTGGCCTTCCAAATTACTTAATACCATCACCGGCCACAGGGCCTTTGCATGGAAGGCTCTCACTCTAGCCTCACTGGAGAGAGGACCTCTGCCCTCCTCCCCTACGATCACTCTGTCATGCTCTTTTGCTTTCTTTGTAGCATTTATCAACGTGTTGGCACTGTTCTCGGGTACAGCCCCTTTATGGAGCTTTTGGTGCATTTTCAAGGCTCCTCTCTGTCAACTGCAAACTGGCACTTGCCATGGGCACTTGCCATCTACCTCTGCAAGGATTAAGTCACATGCTGCTGTAGTTGCTAACCTTCAACCCCTGAAAGGAGCTGAGGGTAGAGAGCAGAAATGAGGCACGCTATGCTGGGAGTTAGATATTTTCAGAAGCCGACTTCAAGAGCCCAATTCTTGTATCTTCACACACATCTAGAAAAGTACTAAAATCCTTCATGGTGACGACGGCTCCTCATGACCCGCAGAAACTTTCTGGAAAAATATGTGCTTGATTGCAGGTATTCCTGCTTCACCAACATGGCATATATACTGACCTTTCACCCCCAGCCTCTTTGGAACAGTTTCTCAGAACTGTCTCCTGGGCTGAGTCCTCATTTTGCCCCAAATGAAACTTAACTCGCACTCTCCCGTTGTGCGTTTTTTATAAGTTGACATTCCCCCTGCTGGGGGACCTGGGCAGGTTGGATGGCAGCTGAGAACTGAGCAAAACTGGGCTTTGTGAGGAACTGGTGCCAGGGCCGCATCCAGGGCGGGAGGAGAGTGGCCGGCTTGGCAGTCGGGCTGGAGTAAGTCTGACCCCAGAAGGTGGTGGCTGTCCCCCTATCCCTACTGCCTCCTCCTCCCCCAGCTCAGCCAGCTGCTGGTGAGGGAAGCTGGGGAGGAAGGAGGCCTGGTGATTAAGAGCTCCGGTTTTCAGGGCTGGGGCCAGGGGGCACGCCCCCTGGGTGACATTTTCTCGCATTGTGTCCTCAGAACAAAAACGAGTCTTATTTGAGGAGTTGGAGGGGGGCGGGGGCAAGGGGCCGAGTGGAATCGTGGCTCCAGGGAACGGCGATTACTCATCAAAGGCCAGGGCAGCGTCTTTGTGCGCCCTCCGCAGCCCGCCCGTGCCTGGCCACAGGCCCTCAGCCACGGACTCCCCCGCGTCCGACCTCCCAGGAGCCCGGCTGGGGATCGTGTGTGGGCAAAGAGCCGCTGCAGGCACGGTGGGGGGAGGGGGTGTCCAGGCAGACTTCCTGGAGGAGGGGAGACGGCTAAGAAGAGAAACATGGAGTGGGTCTCCCGAGACCAGAGGGTGAGTGCAGCGGGAGGGCGGGGCAGAACCTCTAAGGTGTCAATTCAGCCCCCGGATAGAGAGTCCTGGAGGGGTCAGGGGAGGGGGCTGCTTCCTGCTGCGAGGGCTATTTTGGGGCCTGAAACAAATCAAATCCGCCGCAGCCCCCAGAGCCCCCAGCAGCTGCGCAGAACAGCTGTCCCGCCGAGGGCGCCGAGGGGTGGAACCTCGCTTCCTGCCCCCCACAGATCTCTCCCGCCGCCCGGGGGTGTGGGCTGCGGGGAAGGGGGAAGAGGATGTAAAAGGGCTTTAGGCGCGAGTCAGAAACCTGGGCAAAACCTGGGTCTTTCCTCCTCCTGTGCTGGGCTGCCTCGGGGCTGAGACTGGCTACTCCATCAGTCTTTGAGATGCTCCTGATCATGGGAGGAGAGTCACCCCAGAAGCTCTTCCCTGCACCCCCCACCCTTCTTTGAGCCCTAACCGGATGTCTTCCCAGGCCCAGACATTCCCTGCCCACAGTCCCTGTCCAGAAGCTCTCCTAGTGTCCTCTGTGAGAGGTAGGTGGGATGGGCAGGGTCCTTATCTAGTCCCTCCCACCACAAAGGCCAGTCACCATGCTCATTTCCCTGGGTCTTGTTGGTCTCCATAGGGTGATGTGTGGGTGCAAACTGCCTCAAAAGACTGACCCTTCCTCCAGTGAGGGCTGGGGGCTCTGAGAGGGCGAGGGGTCTTATCAAGGAGCCAAGTCCTTCATTGGAGTAGAAGCTCCCTGGAGGCTGGGGACACATCTTTCCCCAGAGCAGTGCCCAGCTGGGTGGTGTCGCTCCACCAAACTAGCTTTGATTCCTTCCTCTTGACCCACAGGGACTGGCATGTGGGTGCTCTGGGACACTGTCAGCTCCAGGGCAGGTACTATTCAGGCTCCCCATTGCACTGAGCGGGGAGCCCCATGCATGAACACCCACCAGGCCCACCCATCAGAACCCAAGATGTGGACGTGTCAAGTAGCTGGAAGGGAGTATTGACCCCTCCTCCAGGGAGCCTTCTGGGACAGGCAGGCAGGAGAAGCTCTCTTTCTCTTTGGTCCATCCTGGCTCAAGGCCAGTCAGTGTCCACAAGTGTGACCAAGGCTGGGATATGCCCTGGGGCAGCCCTGTCCCTCAGGTCACAAGTCCATGCCAGAGTCCCTCGTGTCCATCTTGTGCAGAAAGAGCCCCGTTGTCCTGGGGGCATAGCTGAGGGGTGAGTTCAGAGCCCAGAGATGTGGACCACTTGACTAGTCACAGGCTTTCTGACCGCAGTAGGAGGGAGTCAGGGAGAATCGCTGGGCTGCTTGTTGGGGAAAGGGGCTGGTACACACAGCTGCACACGGAGGGGCTGGCGCACACAACATGCACATGAGCTGTAGCCCAGACACTGCCATCTTCACTCACAGGCCCACTTGCTCACAAGGTTCCCAAACACACACACACACACACACACACACACAGAGTCTCCCTTCGGGACAGCCTCCCCTCGCCTCTTTCCACATTCCTGCCAGCAGATGCTCTATTCTTTCCTTCCGGGAGCTATTGAAGCAGAATCTCCCCACCTTCCGGGGGTGAGGGGTGGGCTCCGGACATGGCAACAACGAGGGGATTGTGGCACCTGTCCATGGGGGCAGGGTCGTCCCCTGGAGCCCCACCCACACTGGGCCGCGACTCCAGGTGCTTTGACGTCCTGTCTGGGTGCACTTGTGATGGGCGCTGCCAAGGTTAACAGAGGTGCACGCTTTCGGCCAGTTCTGCATTCCTAAGCTGGAGTCCACATCTAAACCCGCATCTTCCCCCAGAGCCCTCTCCTCTGATGAAATCCTCTCCCTCTCACTGAGCACCTCACCGTATGGAAACCCCTGTCCCCTCACTGAATTCTCTTAACTGAATTCGTCTCCTTTCTCACCCCCATCTGCGTCCCCCTTTCCGAGAGAGCAGCATCCTTTCCTTCTAATGTCTGTGGACCCCAGAGGGTCTGGTCTACAGCACAGACTCCATAGATGGTGCCGAGACAGTTGCACTGGTCTGCCCAGGCCCTGTCCCCCAGCCTACCCCACCCAGTACTCCCATCACCACCACACAGGCTGGCTCATCGGGGCCTGGGTGGCGGGCAGCTTTGGTACCAGGCATTTCAGCAGGTTGTTCCTCCTGGCCCAGCAGGGCCCACCAGGCTTCAAGCAGACCAGGACTGAAGAGAAATGTATGGCCAAGGGATAGGTTGAACTTGATTCAGCTCTGAATCCTGGCCTTCTTGAAGGATCATTCCCAGAAATCACTATTCCCCCTCCCGCCCCCGCACCCCGCTGCCCTGCCAAACTTCCAAAAGCGAGGAAGGTCCATTCCCCATTCCCACCCTTTCTCATCCCAGACAGCTCAGCCAACTGCCCTGGTCTTGGTGGCCAAGAAGTCACCATATCTGCCTGGTCCCAATCCTTCCTGCAGTGGTGGAGGCCCCACCCCAAGAGAAGCAGGGCCTGTGGGATGTGGGGCTCAGGGAGGAGGGAGGGTGAGACCCAGGGAGCCAGAGGCAAGGACAGAGTCAGCGAGCCAGAGAGGAAACGATGGAGACAGAGGGGGCAAGAGGGAGGAGGAAAGAAAGGGAAAGAGAAAATGAGCAGACCAGCAGGGAGGGGGGCAGAGGAGACTGAGAGGGTAGCCAAGTGCTGAGCCAAGAGATAGGAGGAAGGAAGCTATCGGCCTCCCTCGCTCGCATTCTGCTCCTTCCTCCAGCCAGGCCAAGCCAGGCAGGCTCCAGACACAAATGCTGCCTACTGGGCACAGGCTCCAAAGTGCTGCAAGGTCCCCCTGGGCTAACCTGGCCAAGGGGGTCGAATCACGCATCACCCATCACCCCACACCCCCTAGAAACACAGGCCATGAGTTCCACTGGGAAGATGATTCTGGGAATGAAAAAGAAGAAGGCAAATCAGCTCAAGCCCCCCTAGAAAGCTCAGCTCCTGCATGGCTGGAAATTCTCTCCTCCCCTATAACAGGGCTGCACTGACCACCAGGCGGCCAGGCCTGCTTGCAGCAACAGACACCACCCCCAACCTTCCGCTGTGCCTTGCCAGTGACTATTTGCTGACTGTCTCTTTCATGTCGCTAATCGCCCGGCCCCATCTAATTGGTAATTAGCCTTGAGAGCCCAGCCTGTGCTTGGCTAATTGCTGTTTGTCTCACCCTCATCTCCGGCAGCGGAGCCGTGCCAAGGCTGCTGCCTGGGCTCTATCTGGGCTGCTGGCATCCATGCCAAGGCTCCGTGGAGGTTTCTGCAGCCCCACCCTGCTGTATTCCGAGGGGGCTGCAGGGTGGAGCATCTCTCAGCAGTGGTCTCTGCCCTGAGAGGAGTGGGCCCCAACAGGTCTTCTGGGATGCTATGAAGAGTGGCCCCAGCCTTCAACCATGTTCCACACCCATCTGCAGAAGGAGACGGCCCTGAGTGAGCCATCCTGCTGGGGAATAGAGTCTGGGAGGGCTCCAGGGAGGGTGAGCTGTCTGAGATAGTTCCTTGAAACTTGTCTAGGATTTAGCCATCAGAGAAGGGAGAAAGGACATTCCAGGCAGAGGGTAAGGCAAGCAAGGGCTGCTTGTAACGAGGGTTCAGGCTGTCCACTACCTGGAGGTGGTTGGCCCAGTGTGACTGGAGGGTCTGGCATGTGGGTGGTAGGAGAAGAGGCTAGAAAGGCAGACAGGGGCTGGATTGTGGAGGAGGGCCTTTGGGTGCCAGGCTAAGGAGTTGGGTTTCATTTTTCCCGGCAGTGGGAGCCATGGATGTTTGTCAGCAGGCGAGAGGCCAGATCTGCTCTGCTCTGGAGGCCATGAGGAAGATGAGGTTTGGTGAGGAGAGACCAAGACAGAGCACTTAGACCAGGCTGCTGCTTTCTGGTTGGAGGTAAAGAGGAGGGAAGAGTGGAAAAATCACTTTAGAGGAATCCCTGGGATTTGTTGACTGATTAGAAGCAGGAGTCATCCATGGGGACCATATGCTAAGGGTAGAACCCACCAAGAGTCATCTCCTCCCTTGATAACGCTGTTGAGGGGCAGGGCAAAGGGCACCTCACATGTTTTCTGTGGCTCAGAGTAGCTTGGGGATCCATTTTGAGAACTAACCCTTCTGGTTAGTTCTTTAGGAGCCTCTAAGGAGTTGCTGCCATTGTCACAAGAACTGACACTGGCTGGACCCTTACCACGGGCCAGTCACTGACTGCCCACTTGTTTTGTGTTCAAAGAATCCTAGCTGGAAGCCCCTATTATTAACTTCATTTTTCAAATGACAAAACCAAAGCTGGAAGAGATTAAGTCACTTGCCCAAGGACACACAGCTAGTAAATGACTGAGGCTGGATGTAAACTCAGGTCTAAGTCCTCAGCCAGAACTGTAAATGTGCCTTCCACTCTCCTGTAATAACTGTTTATTTTATCTACTGATTTAGTTTAGACAAAATGGCACTAACCAGCTTGTTCCCTCTCCCTGGAATCCCCTCCTATTTAACTCCGTGTTGTGTTTAGTCGACCAGTCATGTCTGACTCTTTGTGACAGGCTCCTCTGTCCATGGGGATTCTCCAGGAAAGAACACTGGAGTGGGTGGCCATGCCCTCCTCCAGGGGATCTTCCTAACCCAGGATCGAACCCAGGTGTCCCGCATTCCAAGTGGATTCTTTACTGTCGGAGCCACCAGGGAAACCCAAGAATACTGGAGTGAGTAACCTGTCCCTTCACCAGGGAATCTTCCTGACCCAGGAATCGCACTGGGGTCTTCTGCACTGCAGGCAGATTCTTTACCAGCTGAGCTACCAGGGAAGTCCTCTATCCAAATCCTATTCAACTCTATCCACATCCTATTGATCCATTTAAGCTCAGGACAAAACCTGCCCCTCCAGGAAGTCATCCTGGATTCTGTAAACCCTTCTCCACATGCTGGAGATAATCTCTCAGGTGTGCTTGATTTTGAACCTCATGGCAGCCCTTCTCCCACCTTTCCCCTTGTCCTGGAGCACCCCTGCGCCTGTGCATGGAAGGCCTGACCTGCAGGAGGCCCCACATGTGTTGTCCACATCACCCTGGACTGCTGGGAGTCTTCTTCTGCACTGGACAGCGAGTGTTCTGGACCCCTTAGTCTTTGGTTCCCCACCCCCACCCCAGCCTGGCACTGTGCCCCTGGTCTGTGCCTGCTCACCGGCTGTGTGCTGAGTGATGCTTGCCTGCCCGGATGGAAGCAATGCCTCTCACACACCATGTTGGACTCCAGGGGCTCTTGGCTGCCCCCACACTCAAGTTGAGCCCTCACGACTAAAATCTTTGACTTTGTCCTAAAGAGCCAGATGCCCGAGCTGCTAGCTATAAGACTGGCCCTCAACCTGGGGCGGGAGAGGGGTTCCTAGAAAGAGGGCTTTGAAAGGGACCACACATGGTCTGATGAGTGACTCCTGTTGCTTCTATCAAAACCATCAGTGACATCTTGTACTTACTTTCCTTTCAGGGCCCCTGTTTCCTCCAGCAGTGCTGGCCTCAAGCCCCTGGAAAACAGGCACTCGTACTTTCCACCCAGCCTGAAGGGCCTTCGGTAAAAGCTGGTGGAGCTGCACTAATGGTGGGCTGGTGGGCAGATGTGCCCATTGTGTTTTGCCCTCAAGTGGGTCTCAGACTAAAGCAATCTAAGACTCATCTAAGAGCCATGGGTTGGAGACCCCACTGAGGACATGATCCTGGGGGAAGATTTAGAATAATGTTTTCAGTTGTGATCGAGAGACCTGCGGGATCCTTTGAGGTGCCTTGGGGACCGCCTTGGGGTATGAAAGGGCATCATCTGGCCCTGATTCCCATAGCCAATGCAGATGTGGGCTCTGCGACTGAGCTGCCTGGGTTCCACCCGCTCTTCCTGCCCTGCCTATGTAACCTCGGGCAGTCGCCTGACATCTCCAGGCGGCATTCCTCATCTGCAATACAAGGACATTGATAATCACATCCACTTCAAGGTGGACTGTGATGGTTGTAAAACCCATAGCAGGATGCCTGGTCCTCAGTAGGAGTTTATAAAGTTAGCTTGTATTACTTTAACCATCTGCTTGTTTTGTTTTTCTAATCCCCTCTAGCCTGTCTGCCAGACTTGGGGAACAGCTTGGCACAAGGCTGACAAAAACTGAGGAGGCTCCCACCACTGTCTTACTTCTGGGCACCCTTCTTCCTGGCCAGCCAGGGCTTGAAGCCGAGGCGAGAAGAGCCAGGTGTCCCAAGCCTGGTCCTTCCGGGAGGCCCCTCGGCCTTCCCACCTCTGAGAACATTAGGCCTTTGAGATGTGCCCCCGGCCTGCCCCCAACCCCCCCAGCCTGACAATGGGGGCTTCAGAGGGGATGGGTGGCAGGACACAGCCCCCTCTGTGAACTGGAGCCGCCAGCCAAGTTGGTGAGCCTCTGAGGACACATTCCTCGCAGGGCAGAGAAGGACGAGGGGAGGGGGCTGGGCATCTGCCCCTTGGCCTGGCCCTGACCCGAAGAGCTGTTGTCTCTGGGGGATTGGACAAAGGTCCCCTCTTCCTGCTCTCTGCCTCTTGGTGCCCACCCCGGAAATGGTGCCAGTTGGGCCAAGAAGGAAGGCATGAGGCTGGGATAGGTAGTGGTCACCTCCAGGTTTGAATATAGCAACCATAGCACTGTGGGGGGAGGAAGAGGGGAGGCCCAGCAGGCAGCCACCCAGCAGAGAGTCTGCTGGTGTGTGGTGGCCCTGAGGGCATCCTTGCTGCCTTCTCTGCATCCCCATCTCCATCCCCAGCCCTCTGGACCACCTCTTGAACAACATCTCCATCATTCTCAAAATTCCCCTCTTCCTCTCGGGTCTTCTTGGATTAATGGGGGAGTGGGGATGGCTTCACTCAACCCCGCTCAGTGTGAGGAAAGGAATCTCAACGCCATGTGACAACTCTCTTCCTTCATCAAGATCAGTGTCCAGATAGCCAGGTCCCTTACCCCTGGCAGGAGGAAGATGTCTGAACCAGGAAGCCCACCTTTCCCCAGCAGCCCCACCTCCCCTCGGGACTTAGCTCACCACTAAAGTGAACTGAGCCATCCCCACAGGCTGGACCTCTATGACATCACCTCACTTAGTCCTCTCACAGCCAAGGACCATCACTGTCCCCAAGACATGACCCAGGGTCATGCAGGTAGGAAGCAGAAGAGCCAGGATTTGGACCCAAGCTATGTGACCCCTGCGAGTCATTCACTTGAAGCAGAAGCTCAGGAATGATACCCTAATCCTGTGCCAGGCCAGTGGTTCCAGGACTAGTGGTTGCTTGACCCCTACAGGGGAGTCTTGCTGGTGAAGATAACAAGGAGGATAGAAATATGAGATCGGTACCAATGAAGAAGAATGTGTTGATGAAGAGGTTGGATTCCTAGAAATTCCTACATGGGAGTCATTAAGTTGTTCATTCATACATTCCATCATCCATCTAAGGAGCTCTGTAGAGTGCAGTGGTGAAGAATGCGACCCCTGGAGTCTGACAGACAGAGTCCAAACCCCAGCTCTGCCGTGATTCACTGTGTGACTTTGGCAAGTTGCTTCACCTCTCTGAGCCTCAGATTCCACATCAATAAAACGCAGACGATAAAAGTACTTGTTTTGTAAGGTGGTTGTGAATAATACATGATATAATATATAGGAAGTGATTTGTATGGTACCTAGTACAGAATGAACACTCAATAAATGGTAGCCATTACTTTTACTCCTTGCCAGGCATTGGGCTAAGATGCCAGAGTTACAAAGATGAATGAGACTGCTTCTTCCCTGGAAGAGACTAGTGGAAGAGATAGAGGTGGACAGACAATATAATAGGTGCTGGGAGAAGGGCCTATACAAACAGCTACTAACTGTGCCTGGAATATTGAGGAAGGCTTCCTGGGGGAGGTGACTTTATCTGGGACTTGAAGGATAATTAGGAACCTGTCAGGGAGACAGGCAAAGAAAAGATAAAAGCCAGTCCAGCAAGGGAACAGCAAATGCAAAATGCTCTTGCACAAAAGGAGCATCATCAGGGAGCAGAAGCAGTGTGTGCTTGGCAGGCAGCAGGCGCTGGGTCTGGCTCTAGTGTTGGGTGCAGGGTAGGTTCGCAGCAGGAGGAAAGTCTCTTACATGACTAGGGCCATGATGCTTCTCCCAGACTTGGCTGCCTTAGTGGCTCAGTGGTAAAGACTCACCAGCCATGCAGGAGATGCAGGAGAACCAGGTTCAATCCTTGGGTTGGGAAGATCCCCTAGAGGAGGGAATGGCAACCCACTCCAGTATTTTTGCGTGGGAAATCCCATGGAAAGAGAAGCCTTGCAGGCTGCAGTTTATGGGGTTGCAGGGTCGAACACCACTTAACAACAGACTTTCTTACAGACAGGGATAACCAGTGAAGGGTTTTAAGTAAGGCAAGACATAACACAATCTTAGTAAAGCAGATCCTGAGAAGATAGGTTGGACATGAGACAGACTTTCTGGAGATTGGGACCCTTGGGATTTCTTATGCAGGAAATATGGAGCCCTTCGCTGATGCTGAAGGAGAAGGTGGACAGCTCTTTTGTGGAAATGAGAGTCAAGACACATTTCTGGGGCTCTCCAAGCATGGACTGTGGAGATCCTACCTGCCTTAGGGGTGTGGACTGAGATCTGAAATGTGTGTGTTTATGTGTGTATGTGTGTGCACATGTGCACATGTATGAGTGTAAGGACACATGGGAGAGTGAAGGAAAGACCTAGAAACCATTCTGAATCATGGTTTGGACCTAGGAGAGGTGGACCCTCCCAAGAAGTCACAACCCTCTCCTAAGAATAGAGCAGAGACATGAAGAGTGAGCATCATAACCTCTTCCTGTTCAAAACTGAAACCCTTGTCTACCTAAACAACTTAGAAGCACAGACTTGGGAGTCTTGCCCACTTACAGTGGAAGATTCTAGAACAGTGATTCTCAACTTCAGCCTGCTTTAGAATCCCTTGGGAATCTTGTTAAAACACTGATTCTGATTCAGCAGGCTGGGGTGAGAACTAATAACGTGCATTTCTAATAAGCCTCCCCTCCCCCTTGGTGCTGATGTTGCCAATCCAGGAACCACACTTGAAGTGGCCAGAATGGTTTTTCTTTTGGTTGCACATTTACAGTCACCTAGAGTCCCAGGTGGTGCTAGTGGTAAAGAACCCACCTGCCAATGCAGGAGACATAAAGAGAGGTGGATTCAATCCCTGGGTCGGGAAGATCCCCTGGAAGAGGGCATGGCAACCCACTCTAGTATTCTTGCCTGGAGAATCCCTTGGACAGTTAAAATCCATAGAGTTGCAAAGAATCAGACACGACTGGAGTGATTTAGTACACACAAGGAGGTTTTTAAAAGGAAAAAAAAAAAGGAGGCTAGGGACTCATCCCAGACCAATTCTGATATATCAGAATTTTTAGGAGCAGTGGCCTGGGCATCCATCCACTCCTGAAATGATTCTGATGCACTGTGAGGACATGAAAGGAAAATTGCTCCAGAACGTGCCCATTCAGACTGGAGCAAGGGGTTCAGAACTCCCTTTCCAGGGCGGAAACTAGAAATAGAAGGCAAGTCACACAAAGTCCCAGGCCCTGATTCTCTGAACAGCATTCCTGGTAACTCCAGAAGGGCAACGGAGGGGTATCCATATCAGGAAGGGGAAGGGGCAGGAAGGGCAGCCCCCTCTCAACTCTGTCCCCACCAGCTCCTCGGAAAGTGGCTTTGTCCAGTGTTTGAGGCACGAGTCTAAATATAGCCTGGGCTGGGGGCTGAATTCAGTCTATTGAGGGAACAGGCCTGTTGCTGCCCTGCCCCAGGCCCAGGCCACAGAGAGCTGGTGCAGAAGAGGCTGGGAAAGAAGGGAGTAGGGGTGGGATCGGGAGTGTGGGCCTCCCAGAAGGTGGGGTGGGGTGGGAGAGAGTTGGAAGGGGAGATCCGAGTTAGATCATCCCCCAAAATGGGGATACAGTGTGGGGGGAAAAGGAAGAAAGATGCCTCACCCTGTGCTGTGGACTGATACGTGTCTTGCCTAGAAATTGGTATGTTGAAGCCCTAACCCTAAAGTCATCATATTTGCAGATTATATATATATATGGCCTGGAATGAGATAATTGAGGTTAAATGAGGTCACAGGGTGGGCCCCTGATTTGATAGGATTAGTGTCCTTATAAAAAGAGAAACACCAGAGAATCTGTCACTTCCTGGGCCACCTACATGCATGCACCAAAAATAAGTCATCTGCAAGCCAGAAGAGAGGTCTCAGAAGAAACCAAAATGGCTAGAATCTTGATCTTGGACTTCAAGCCCTCAGAACTGTGAGAAAATAAATTTCTGTTGTTTAAGCCTCCCAGTCTGTGGTATTTTGTTATGGTGGCTGGAGCTAGGACAAGAGTCAAGTTCCCTTCCAGAATTTAAGGATGGTTACTCTAGTCTCCCATCCAACACACAGGAGGAAGTTCCTCTTGCAATCTAGCCACAATCTTTACAGCTGCAACTAGACATGTAGGAGAGAAGAATGATGCTCAAATCCTAACCTGCAAAAAATCCACATTTCTTTGTTGGAGTGCCTACCAGAGGCTT